AATTTACCGCTCCTTCCCCTCCTACGGATAGCTAAGTCTATTTTCAAAAGACGTAACGAAGCGAATAATCAATAGGTATCAGTGTAAATATATACATAAACACAGACGTCTAATGGTAAAATACGAATCTTATTGGTCTCATTACTTCTATAATTTTGACAATATTTTTGTTCTCATACATGTTAGCGGGAACACGTACTAATCTAATAAATACTGACAGAATCGTATTAAAAAAAAAAAAGAAATAAGTGAGAAAGAGAGAAGGACATACGTCCGATTAAAAAATATCGCTGTTGTACTTTGTTGTAAAGTTAGACAATTATTTATAAAATCGACCAGGATTATTACTTTCTACTCGAGGATTATTACTTGTTTCTTCCTTCCTAGCTTCACGGAATACTAGGTAACAATGAGATTCTGTTCATTCATGCAAGTGTGCAGTCAACAGTTCGTATCGTTTTCTTCCTATCGAGATGGTAAGAGCATCGTTTCTCCGAGCTACCTATGTTGACTCCACCTTCGACATACGATAATCTTGTAAAGTCAAATCACCATTATAGAACTACGTAATGTATCAAATGTGAGAAATGTTCACGAAACACTTACTTCACGTGACAATGAGTAAACTGCGTCGTTACAAAGAGTATGGAAGAACATGAACGAGGTGAAGTAAGATTAGAGAATGCTTTTTTGAGCGTGACAAGTCCCAAAAGCGCCATTGTTAATAATAACGTACTAAATTAAAGAATATACTTTCTAGATTATCGTATATTGTCATCTCACGGAGAATTAGTGAAAGATACAACACATCTCTGTGAATAATAAGATATACGATTACGCGCGTCGCAATCTTCCATCGAAGAATGTGTCAACGAGCGTTTGAGCGTAAGATTGTGCGCGACAACATATTATTACGCCGCTTGAATGAGATCAGTTCTTGTAAACGTTACATGCAACATAGAACTATATATCAAATAAAAGATCAAATAAAAATGTAATAATAATTGCATTTTCGAATATAAATTATCCTTTTGATATTCATGATATTTTTATACATGTATTAATCTTTACTATGCTCTCTTCTATATATAATCGTAAAACCGTAATGATCCAGACTGATTTATGAATCAGTAAATTGCCAATCACTACAGCCTCTCTAGATTTTGAGAATCGCATATTTTTCGCGAGCAGTATTATATTGTGACTTAATTCTTATAACATTGATATAACATCAATAATCATAGCGTTTTATACAATTAATATAACATATGAAAAATAATAATACGCATCTTTCGAAAATCATTGGAAAACTATATCGAACGACGAGTTTATTAATTTATTGTAAAATGGGGAGATCTCATTATGTGCGGTATTATCTGCAACATCAACTGTAAAATAAAAGTCAAGTGAATTTCAACAGAGGATTAAAAAAAATCCTCAGTCCATTATTTGTATTTCATTCAAAGGTCAGTATAGTTATGTAAAAATTTTTGTGTGCGAAAGTAGATACATAATTGTCACTCTCAAAAATTCTACTCAAACACCTCGTTCTAGAAATCATATCTAACGAAAAACTTTATGAAAAAAGCAAGTAAATTGAATTTACTTCACCTGAAATCTCGTCTCATATTATACTCTAACTTATCGGTAAAATCTGCAATATTAAGAACCAGGTCAGACATTTTCTGTCGCATATTTTATTAAGAGAACGACTAGGCCATATGAATATAACTGAGGAGTTTGTGTTATGTTCTGATACAATTTTCGTGCGAGAGTGGAGCCTACCTAATTTAATCCAGACCCTTTCCTTTCAAACCACTTTCAATATATCTTAACAAATGTTGCATTTTTATACATATGTAGGTTCTCAATCGAAAGAGTCTAGATCTTCTAAATTCTGCCTTTCTATTTTCATATATTCAAAAAGTGTGTCCTGAGATTTATTCATATGGCATATCTTTCAGTCTAGTAGACTTTCTCTGCTCTCGATTGATTGATTCGGTATATTTCATTCCATTCATTCTTTCACAGTGAATGTCGACTCTATTCAGGTTCTTCTCCATCTGCAACCGTCAAATGCTCGTATATATGTATCACATGCGTACTATTCAATAATGTGTCAATCTTTGCCAATTTTTATCGCTTACCTTCGCGCTCCACTTCATCTTCTCCCAACAGATCATCCTCTTCATTTACACCGTCGTCTTCGTCATTCACAGCCTCCTCTTCCTCTTCATCATCCTCATCAACATCGTCCTCGACTACCACTATACTGTCATCTCCTTCTTCACCTTCTCCCCCTTCTCCTCCTTCGTCACCGTCATCTGCGCCGTCTTCTTCCTCTTCTTCCTCTTCACTTTCACACTCCTCACCATCACCTTCAATGCCATTTTCGACGTCTATATCTGGTGCAAGGTAATACTAAAACACATATCAAATTATGAGTCAGATATAAACAAAATTGTTCAAACCAATTGTGTCTTAGACTCCTCTTAAGACTCCTGGTTCGACTACTGCAGAACCAGATCTGCTGGATTGATCGCGTCAGAAGCGAGTAAATGCATACCCAAAATCCTTGTATGCCTTTTTCAAGTATTTGTGTGAAAGAACGCTTTAGATCGCTTGAGCGCATACTTATAAAATGCTTAAAAAATTATCACTCCCTTGACAATCAATAAAATTAATATAGCATTATAACTAATGTATATGCAACCTTTTTCTTTGACTTATCTTTCTTCATAATTTTGCCACGTTAATTTTAAGGTTATTGACTGTCAAGAGAAATGATAGTTTTCAGACCATTTTGCGAATATTTTCGAACGATCTAAAGTGTTTTTTCATACAAGTATCTTTATAGTTGAAAAAGGCATGTAAGAATCTTTGGTGCGTTTTCTCATTTCTGACGTTATCCATTCAGGTTCCTCGCAGAAATTGGATCAGGAGTCTTGATGTGCACCTCTGAAATAATGTTACCTGCAGTGGATTAGGCCACATATCATCCTTAATTAATTCAGCTATCTCGTCCGAGCTTGGATCACCATGATCCGTAAACCAGTCAAAGAATGATCTGTGCTTGAGTGGTCTCTTGCGTCCTTTTAATGGCGCTTTGGTCTTTGCTTTCTTCGTTAAGTCCACGCCCTCTTTCCAACAGATAGGTGTACTTTGAGATGCTGGATCTCCTGCAAAACAGCAGGAGATTCATCGCAACTACGACACTCAACTAAAGTGCAAACAGCACAGCAGACATTTCTCACTTAAATACTACTGGATTATCGCGCTTTTCTATGTATCATTAATTCAACAACAATAAGTCGACAAGCTAACGTGCTCACCAGAAGACCCTAAGTGGAATTCCTTAGTTAAAACCTCATTATCGAAATATGGATTTTTGTCAAAATAAAAATTAATTCTATAGCCAGATTTGATGTCTTCAAACTCCTCGACTTCCAATTTGTTTAGATATCTCAAGACATCCTCCTCATCCTCTTCCAATATTTCTGCTATTTCTTTGTTGTTTACAAACTAAACTTTTATTAAGGAATAACATGCATCAGATCTTACAGAATATAACAGTATTGTCGTTCGGGATAAACGCGGAAATGAGATTTCTCGCGCTAATCCGTATCAAAAGCGTATCGACAGTGCATGTCGTTCTATTCGTATGCGCGACGTTCTTTGTTTATATGTGAACTGCTGAAAAATCACAGCGTGACATGTCATACCGCGGCGACGGGGGGCAACGTGATCTAACGAGTGAATAAAATTAATTGCTAATTGAGATGAAAACGTATCAGTAAAATCATGCGTAATATCATGCACGGTTAGACACGCTTATGCACGTATACAAGTAGGCAAGATGGCGGCTGTAGCCGGCGGACGCCGGCATCGCCGAGAAACGTCAAAACGGCGCGGCCGCGCCGTGCCTCGCGTCGCTTTAGCGAACGAGCGACCGGGCGTCTAACAAAAGGATACCGCAGTGACCCAGAAGTTGGGTATCCTCTTGATGATATCGTTACGCTTCTGGAAGTAGGGCTTTCGCAGCTTGTTATACTTCTTCTCGACCTCGAGGATCTCGTCACTGGCCTTCTCGTTGAGACCATCGATTTGATTCTGACAACCGTCGATCTCCTCCAGGGTTTTCTGTATCTCGATGTTCCGTATGAAATCCTGCGCATCCCCCTCGCCAGAGCCTGGATCCTCCAGCTCCTTGGCTTTCTTGTTCGGCGACGACATCGTTAAACGCGCGCTCTTGCCACCACTACACACCGCACTCTGTTTATTTCCCGTACGGCGCTCGCTCTCGTCACGCTGCGTGATGCCGAATTGGCGGCGCGCAAGCGATTTATACGGCCATGAACAACGAGCTAAGAGCTTGACGCGCCTACTATGCATGGGAAACGATCGAACCGCGGTACTTCCGGATACAGCGGAAAAGGCAGCCGATTGGCTGGCACGTTGGCGTCCTCCGCGAGTCGTCAAGCGGATTCGCCTTGCCTGCCATGCGGCGAGAAACGACTCGATAGCCAATAAACTTCCAGCTTTCGTAGGCACGTTGATTGGTTACTGCGTCGTTTTTGCCGCGTTTTGTATTGTTACGTCCACGATAGATAACTATATAGGGAAATTTGAAAGTAGTGAAATCAGTGACTTACGTGGACGGTCAACAGAGTGATGGCTCCGCTTTTGGGTCACTCTGCTTTTCACCGAGTTTACCCTGGGTCTCGGGAGCCTGGCGAAACGATTGATGAATCTGGCGAAAAGTCAGCGGTGCTTGTTCTCCTGGCTCGGCCTCGGATGTTCCGATACCACGCGGGTTGATGCGGCCCGCGATTCAGAATTTGATTTCGCAACGTTTGAAATATGAAGGGTAGGCAAAAGTAATTGCAACACAGTCGGATTTTACGACTAAGTATAATATACTGAATAAGTACATGAAGCTACCAGAGACTAACTATGAGAAGAAAATAATTATATATATTGCCTTCTCTACAAATGCGCGCGCTTTTATACGTCGCTTTGTCGCTGAGAGTCGTTCTCCGATTGGTCCATGGAGTTATGGCGAGGGAAGAGATTCATTCCTTTGCATGATGTCACCGCGTCGGTGTCCTGAGTGGTGTTTAGGATTCAGCTTTCATGCTCCTGTTTATGTTGGCTTATCGCACTGAGCGATAGCGGTTTCTTTGGGTCGATCCGAGATCCGTCGATTTCGAGACTCTCCAGCAGCACGCAGCATTCGGCATTTTAATTATAATGTTTTAACGCTCGCGAATATGCATATGCGCACGTACTTACATCTAGTAACATAGGGATATAATATCTAGTGATGTCTGAAATCAGACAAGTCGGCCTCCCGGTCTATAATAATATATTGTTAATGTTCTAAAATAGATCCGGACGTTACAGTATGCAGGAGCCGAATTTGCATAAGACGAATTTGATCTGGAAACTAGCCATAAAGTAACACGACTTATAGGCCGGTATTCATAGTCAAATCTTATTTCAAAACCATCTTGAGTAATGTCTTAAGATGCGAATATGGCTCTGTGATTGGTTCAGGACATCTTAAAACAGTACTTAAGGGCTACGTTCCAAAACTCTATTCGACGGATAGAGTAGCATTTATTAATTGACCAATAAGAACTAGGATTTTTTTATGACGATTGGTCAATTAAATATACTCTATCCACCAAGTAAAATTTTGTAACGCAGCCAAGATGATCTTAAATATAAGATTGGACTATGAATACCGGCCATAGGCCATTTGCTTTGGGCGCTTACGCGCTCTAAACGTCATTCTATCTTTATCGCTCATTACATGCGGAAAGAAGATAGAATGACGCTTACAGCGCATAAGTACCCAAAGCGAACGCAGCCTTTATTTGATCCGCCATTTTTACCAACTCCCGCTCATATTCAAACTACAATAATCTCGCTAACTTTATATCTCAACAACGCAAATAAAACATAAACATTTTTAGAAAATTAGATGATATTTTCTTTTGATTGTCAAAGTTATATATATTAAAAAGCATATAACGTGTGATATATAAAAGAGTAGTAAAAACTAAGCTCAACTATCAATTAAGTAGTCCTTAATTAAATTTACTAAATTTAATCGTCTATTAAACGGCCTTAAATTGAATTGACCCATATCAATCGTCAATTAAACACGATAATTAATTAAGGTATTTATTCTCTAGATTCGCCTCTACATTCGCGCTGAACGGCCATATTGCGAGCGCGGTTCACAATATTCCACGAAGATGGGGATCAGCCACCTCGCAGCTTCCTCTCTAGATGAAATCTTTCGAGCTCTGTGAAAGACGGTTGAGTGAAAGCAAGAATTCTACGAGATATATCGATATTGCCAAATGAGAACGTTATCTACGTAAGCTGAGAATTGTCGGTATGCACACAGCTGCGCCATTTTTCTCTTCACGTCGAATCTCGCGAGCACGTGAATTTAATTTCATCATGCACTAATGCACTCGCTCATCGAAAGTCTCAGTTTTGAAGGGATAAGGGGAAAAATCTTGCTCGTAATTCTACAGTAATTCTGTGTACTCTGCTGAGCAGCACGTTCGAAAGTTCCTTTCGGACACGGCCGGAACTCAGCATGTTCGATTTCAACAGCTCAACATCCGGTCGCGCTTTGCGCGACCAGAGGCGCAAAACGCGGTGTCGTGCTTCGTGAGTCGGTCTCGCGTGTCGTCGCGGTCGCGCTCGACGCGCCGCAGAAATCGAAAAGTTTTCGCGGAAAACGAGGTTTGGAGATCGAAGATTCCGGCGGATAAAAATGTCCCTCGACGGAGATAGAACCGCCCCGTCTACTGGCGCGGCCCCCTCTCGGCGATGTTAGCGCGGGCGAATGGCGGGCGGCGTGCGCCGTCGCGAGCCGCGCGACAGCCAATCCGCGACGGCGTAGTATCGCCGCGTCCGGGATGTCGCTCACGGAACCAAGATGGCATCTGAGGACGGTGCGGGTATCGTGTCAAACGTAGGATGCGATGTAAATAATACGAGCGAGCGAGCGGACGAGCCAGCCGGTGGGGAAACAACGAGTGCGACGTCAGCCGAAACGACGTGGTGCAGCGTCGTCGAGAAGACGACAACGGCAGCAGCAGCGAGTCTCGCTGCCTCCGCACGCAGTTCGTCCAGGACGCCCACGGGTTTCCCAGCAGCGTCACCGTTCCACGCGAACACGGAAGGCCACGGAAGGTTGCAGAGGGACTCGGACCCCGCGAGCTTGTCCGGTGATGTGGGTAAACGGGTCGCGAGCGAATCCGACGAGTCCCGATCGCCGTCCCCCCAACGGCGCAGCATGTCTCACCAGAGGACTGACCCGGACAGCGGCACCGCTCGTCTTCCGGGAGAACCAGACGGTAATCTTGTTTTGCGTCTTTCGTCGTTGCGCGAAACTCGCGGCGGAATTTTTCCGGATGGTTAGCAGATCCATTCATATCCACATTGTTCGTAATTCTGAGAATGTATTTGTTTGAATTGTTGAGATTATTCAATAATATGGCTTTTTTATAAAACTGCGTATTCAGTGCCTCAAGGTAAGATTTATTTAATATGAACAATAAGCTAAGTAGTGTGGTTAGAGCAAATCTGTTAGGTATGAGAATATACCAATATATTCTTTTATTTCAATAAATCAAGAATATGAATTGGTCGATAAGAACTCAATTATTCAGGCTAACAATATAATTTACCTAAAATGACAGTCATGTATGTTCAAATGTTTTGACCAATTGCTGATTTTCTTAATAACAGCATATATATATTTATAAATCTATAGCTTACATAAAGAAAATTCTTTCATATATCACAAAAATATATATTATTGGGCTAAAATGTTAATAATTATTTTTGACATTTTATTGTTATTTGAAAATTGTTTTTATATAATGTATCTATAAAGTATATTCTTTATTCAACTAATTATTCTTATTTTATGAACTAAATGCCTGTTTATTTTTTAATACCAATCGATAAGATTTAATCAAATCTTAACTCAAGTTTGACTTTAAATAGAGTTCAAACTAAAGTTAAAGCTTAATCAATATTGATAAAAATGAGTAAGAAGTATATATATATATATATATGTACATACATATGTATATATATATTTATATATATATATATATATATATATATATATATATATATATATATATATAAAAGCATGTGTGAATTTGTAGATAAGCTTCTATTAATATATAACACATTGAATTCTATTTGTGTTTTATATATAATATAAAAGCCAGTTGAGCTAACAGATTTTGTTTAACTGAACAACATTATCTATATTTATCATAAATATATATCTATTTTTTTCTCACATATATTTCAAGATAAAATAGGATAAAAAAGACAAAGTCTGACAATAATTAATAAAGAGAAAATAAATTAAATAATGTTATTTATTATACTTTATATTTATTATATTACTTATTATATTTCTAAATTATTTTCCATTTAATAAGTTAAACATAAAGGTAAGATAAAATTGACAAATAGTATGTGTGTTTATTAAATGGGACAATATGTATATGTGATGCAGATAGTCCAGATCACTGCAACAATGAAATAGTGAAAGCTACTAGGGAACCTGTTCAACATATACATGTGGGTACTTCACAATTTCATAAAACATTTCTGACACATTCGCTATCAGAATTTACTTACATTACCACCATGTATCTTTTTTATTATATATTTGTGTAAAACAAACTTAGTTTATGTGGGAGAGAAATAAGAATTATTGCTATCACATATATAACCTTGGTTTCTAGTGAGAGATTGGTGCATTACATGTGTGACGCTGACAGCGAACGTGTTAATAAATTGATATTTGATCACTACACTTGGACTACACCGCGAATGTCTATTGCTCAACAAATAATCCTCTATTTAGGCCGCCTCTACGTGTAACAACGATACAATGTTATCGGGTGGTATGCACACATCATTGTCTACAAAAGCGAAATTAGAAGGGTGCGTGAATTTCTCCAACAACACACCGCAGCTGGGAGAAAGTCCGCAGAGTAGCGGCGAGATAATCAGCAGCCCGAGAAGCCCCGACTACCCGCCGAGGGTTTCCGCGAGCCCTCACAGTCCAGATATAACGTTCTCCATCAGCATGATGTCAGCAATAGCGAACACTACAGCTGTAATGGGCACGGCGAAATGCAATGAAGAGGGCACCGATGACGTGGATACGCGTACGGACAAAGGGACCGAGTACACATTTTGTTCGTCACAACAGAAGATCGATGAAACACAAGCCAACGTCAAACAGACAGAACCGACGAGCAGCGAACAGCAAGACGCTCTTTCTACCGGAGAGACAAAACCTCCAGAGAGAGAAGTGAAAGTAGAGAACGTTGAAATAAAGAAAGAACCGATGGAATCGCAGGAAGGCCTGCAGACAGTCAAATCCGAACTGGTAGTTGACGCTTTGCTGGTAACGTCGTCGAGCAAAACGGAGGCTGGCGTGTCTCAAGAAAAACCCGTGGATCCCACTAATACACCTTCCAGTTCACATTCGAAGACTTGCTCGTCCTCTAGCAAGAAACGCTCGAAGGAGCACAGCGAACGACGACATTGCTCACGGTGCGAGAGACGCAGGAATATCAAGAGAGCGAGTATCGGTGTACAGTGCAAGCGCGACCGTCACGTGTTGTCCTCGCTGAGCGGCAAGCCGATGTCCATGTCCTTCTCCAAATCTACCAATGATAACCTGAGGTTAAATTTACAAACGAAAAACTATAAAACACTTCACAGTCCAGTAGTAAAAAGTGAATTATTGGAGGGCCTAAAGTACAAGAAATACATTCATATAGAAACTTATCCGAATGGAGGCGCATCAGTGGTACACATGTACCAAGACGAGATTGATAGCTTATCCCATGAACAGACGGAAGAACTAGCACAGGAATACTTTAAGGTAAATGTATATAAGAAATAACAGAGTAATAGATACATAATTAAATGTATAAAGTCGGAAGAGCTTGGCAAAACACATGGTGCGGCTCAGAACTCTCTTGATTCGTACGTTTAATTTAACGATTGATTGTAATATCGTATCTGTCTTTATCAGGTGGTGTTCGGTGAGGACGAAAATGGGAATGCTCATCATGTCATGGGTATAGTGCACAATGCGGCTGCATACCTACCCGATCTTTTGGACTACATGGCGAATACTTATCCCACATTGACTGTGAAAAACGGTGTATTGGGCAGGAACAGTGATATAGAAACGACAACAATGGTTCAGTATAAAGATCAAGTCTGCAAATCTTACAATAACGGCACTGTCCGTTATGGACCACTACACCAAATTAGCCTTGTAGGCACGGTTCATGAAGAAGTCGGCGGATATTTTCCGGACCTACTGCAGAAGTTGGAAGAAAATCCCTTTCTAAAAATGGTAAATATATACAATTATATATACTTTTTATATACATGCGCTCGTCGTATTAATATATCAATATAATTATGTTCCAGACAATGCCTTGGGGACCTCTTTCTGTTGTAAAGATGGACACGCCGCAAGAATCGAATGATGGCCCTATCCTGTGGATCCGACCAGGCGAGCAACTGGTGCCAACAGCCGACATAAACAAAAGCCCATACAAACGACGCAGAACCGGCATCAACGAGCTGAGAAATCTGCAGTATCTGCCGCGACTCAGCGAGGCTCGAGAGTATATGTTCGAGGATCGCACGAAGGCGCACGCGGATCACGTCGGCCATGGATTGGACAGGATGACTACGGCCGCTGTTGGCGTGTTGAAGGCCGTACACGGGGGCCAGCCGTCCGAATACAACAGGATCACGAAAGACGTGGTGGCGTTCTATGCGGGGGATTTCAACGAGCTCGTCGAGAAATTGCAGTTGGATCTTCACGAGCCGCCTATATCGCAATGCGTGCAGTGGGTGGAGGATGCAAAATTGAATCAGCTGCGCAGACAAGGCGTTCGTTACGCCAAGATCAATCTCTACGACAACGACATATATTTTCTACCGCGTAACATCATCCACCAGTTCAGAACGGTCTCTGCCGTCTCGAGCATCGCTTGGCACATCAGACTGAAGCAGTATTACCCGGAGTCGCAGCATAGCACGAGTATCAGACATAGCCGCGTAGTGAACGAATCTGCTCATCGCATTAAGGAGAAGAAGCCGCTTGAAGCAGTCAGCATCGGCGACGAGCAGAAGGAGAACACGAATCGGCAACGCTTAGAGCAGAAATTGTCAATTGACTCTCTCGAGGAGAAGAAAGCGAAGGAGAGAGCAGCTGAGTATCAGGGTAATTTGAAGAAATCCGATCAGCACGGGAAGCATCGGAAAAGTCAACATCACTCCAGACATTCATCACTCAAGCGAAAGAACAAAGAAGAAGGCACCGACAATCCGTCGGATCCTTTCGGCAGCACCAAATCGTCCAAGAGCGGCATAAACGAGCAGAAGCAGAGCGGCGACAAGACCAGGGACGAGAAGAGATCGGAGAAGCGACACAAGGATCGCCACCGCAACGACGACAAGTCAAGTAGTGGTCATCACAGCTGCAGTTCCTGTAAGAAGAAAAAATACGATAACAGTGGCCACAAGTTGGAGCATCATTGTAGCCACCATGGTAGATCCAATGGTAACAGTATATCAAGCAAGGAAAGTATTCCTGATCTTATGAAAACCAGAGTGATTCCAAGCAGCTTCAGCAGTAGCTCGTCTTCCATGAAAGAGGCCAAGAGACGACTAAGCGGCTCGGAATTGTCTCCACCAGTCGATATTTCGGAGACCGACTCAGTTGTTCCCGAAGAAGAGGTACTGACGCAACGACAAGCCGTCGCCAAGACGTACGCCACCGAGGTGGTGGACAAAGCACTGGAGATAGCGATTTACAAATCGAAGACCGACGTCGAAGAAGTGTGTCAGTCATTGCGCACCGGTGTCGCCGAGGCCTCGAAGGAGGTGCTGGAAAGAATTCGCAAAGAAAGCTACGAGATCGCCGAGCGGAGGTTCAAGGACAATACTGCCAAGTTAGAGAGCTATTGTCATTTGTTGGAGGGAGAAACGGTATTGGCGTTCACGTCAAAGATGGAATGTGCGACGGAAAACGCGGTAAAAGCATTGATCGAGACCGCGGAAGATGAGGCGAAGGAGAGAGCGAAGAACGAAGAGAAGACCGAATTCTCGACCACTGATAGTAATACTGGCTGCGTAATCTCGAATACGACTTCTACCACTGGTGTTCCCTCATATTCCTCGTCATTGACGTCCACGTCTCCGATATCCACCGAAAATGAGAGACACAGCAGTAGAAACGGCAGTAGCGACGACAACTCGACTAAATCGTCCGATTGCCACGGCGCGTCGCACTCCAAATCGAAGAGCAAGTACCGGGACGAAAAGGACTCCAGAGAGAGGAGGCATGAGAAGAGAAGAGATCGCGACAGACGAGAGCATGATCGGCACCGTCACGGTAGTTCACAGCGAAAATCCGAATCAAAGACTGGCGAAGCCGGCGAGCACGACGCGCTGAAGATTCCCGGACTACCACACACTTGTCCACCTCTGTCCGTCGGGAAATCCGAGCGGACGGACTCCAAGGATGGCGAGGAGAGGCTGGAGGACAGGAGGAAGAGTCACTACAGTCATCACTACAGCCACAGACACGGGAAGGAGAGGACATCCAATAGCCGCGGAGACAAGGATGGCCACGCGGCATCGAGTCGCTCGCACTCGTCGAGCTCAAACCACAAAAGGAAGTCCAAGTCATCCGACGGACACAAGGAGACTAAGAGACCGCGTTTGGAAGTAGATTCGAACACGCGGAGCTCCGAGTCGAGTACGTCGAGCAGCGTAATAAATTCAACGACGACAACGGCGATAGCGACAGCAACAATGACAACAGCGGTGACCACGACGACATCGACGACGACGACGACGACAGCAGCGGCGGCGACGATGACACAAGAGTCCCCGACGAACACTGTTATATCGAGCACGTGAAAAGGTGACGACTGTTCTCGACAACTGTAGTACAATCCGCTTGTTAGGGGCGCGAAATCGTAACGCGGCGAGAAAGCGCCGGTTTCTCACCTCGACAGCATCAGCGCGAAGCTCCAACTCCGGGAGTCCTGTCGCTTGTGCGACTTTAGTGCGAGTCGGACGCAGCCGGAGCGACGGAGGCAAAGGAGAGCTACGCCGAGCCCGGTTTTGTGAGTACCCGATATGCGGAAGACATTGTACTTTTACCAAAGTAGAGATCGCCGTGTTTTCAATCCAAAGACGAGATAGAGGAACTTCACCGATCGAGAATTTGCTACTTCATCCTTTTCCTCGTGGTGACATACGTACGTACGTACGTACGTACGTACGTACGTACGTACGTACGTACGTACGTACGTACGTACGTACATACATACATACATACATACATACATACATACATACATACATACATACATACATACATACATACATACATACATACATTCATTCATTGCGTACTCTTGCATCTACACTTATACAGTCGCACACGCATCGCCTTAGTCTCAAACAAAGAAGTTTACAATACAAGAAGAGAGTGTTACTCACACTGTATTTGAGTAATGCTTACTAGTATTATTCATTAAAACAGACACCACACATATACATATACACACCCCATATAACACAAATGTTCACTAGATATCCTAAAAACATTCTTAGGACATCTATCTATTGGACATTTGTGCTATATGGGACATAACAAACGATAAACAGAGGCAAGCACAACATAACATCTTCCGATACAGGATCGCAAAGATTATTTTGCTACAAGAGAACTCTCTCCGGACGTCTCGTACATTGCTGAGAATTAAAACTAATATTTATAGAGTGTAGGCGACTCCAATGTGTGAGAGGTGTACAAAAGAAACTTTGTACAAATTTATGATCGAAAATTGATCCTCCTCTCTCCCCCCCCCCCCCCCG